GAGGCAGGTGCCCTCATGTACGCCGACCAAGGTAGGAAACCCTAAACCCTAAACCCTCGCCTTGGCGCCAGCCATCGCCTTGGACTCACAGTGTGCCGAGGTCTCACAGCCTAGGGTTCAGGTTTAGGGCTCGGAAGTCCTGGTTTAGGGTTTAGGGTTTAGGGTTTAGGGTTTGTGTTTAGGGATTTGCTGCATCGACGAGTTCGACAAAATGGATGAAAAAGACAGAGTGGCGATTCACGAGGCGATGGAGCAGCAGACAATTTCCATAGCCAAGGCTGGCATTCAGGTTCCTGCAAACCCTAAACCCTAAACCCTAATCCCTAAACCTTAAACCCTAAACATTAGGGGTTCTCCGGTGACTGTGCGGTGGAACCAGCGTTCACACGCCCAGGCAATCAGCAGCTCTGCAAGCATCTTCCCTGGCTGCTTCCTCCTGCTGTTGCTTCCTGCTGCTTCCTGCTGCTGTTGCTTCCTGCTGCTGCTGCTGCTGCTTCCGTGGCTGCTGCTGCTGCTGCTAGCCGTGCTGGGCTGAAGTGGGGTCCTCCCTCATTGCGTTGAAATGCTACTGGGCATATGGGATCGTGTTGGGATCGTGTAAGGGCGACTGGGATCGTATGGGATCGTGTTTGGATCGTGTGGGGTTTCATTGGGATCGCTTTTGCTGGCTTCAGCCGCCGTGGGATCGTCTTCCAATTTTATGGGATCGCCTGGGATCGTGTGGGATAGTCCTGGGACCGTGTGGGGCCAACTGGGGATCGTGTGGGGTCGCTTTAGGACCGTGTGGGGCTGGCTGGGGATCGCCTGGGATCGTGTGGGATCGGCTGGGATCGGCTGGGATCGGCTGAGATCGTGTGGGATCGTGTGGGGTGGGCTCAGGCGACGCTGAATGCGCGGGCGAGCGTGCTGGCTGCATGCAACCCGCGCTTCGGGCGCTACGACCGCAGCAAAAGTTTTGCTGCTAATGTTCATATTCCTGCGCCGCTGCTGTCGCGATTTGATTTGCTTTTTACTTTAATTGACGAGGCCGACGAGGCCAGAGACAGCGCCATCTTCGACCACCTCGTAAACCCTAAACCCTAAACCCTAAACCCTAGCTGCGAAAGGCCCTTCAAGCACCGCGTCCGCATTCGCAACTGCAGCTGCCTGTACACCCGAGCAGCTGCCTGTATACCCGAGCAGCTGCCTGTATACCCCAGTAGCTGCCTGTACACCCCAGCAGCTGCCTGTACACCGCAGCAGCTGCCTGTACACCGCAGCGGGTGTACGTACACCTCAGCAGCAGCTGCCTGTACACTGCACGGCTGCTGCTGTCTCAGGCCGCTTACCACATGAGCCCTGAGGACGCCGCAGCAACAGCAACAGCAGCAGCAGCAGCAGATTCTCTAACTCAAGATGAGCTGCGTCTCTACGTCGAGTGCGCCCAAAAGCTCAAACCCATCATGACCGGTAAACCCTAAACCCTAAACCGCAAACCCTAAATCCGAGCCTCCCGCGTGGGCTTTTGTCCTTGCTGTGAACCTGCGTGACTTTTAGGGTGAGCAGCCCGCCGCTTACGGCCAGCCCTCAGGGTTTGGGGTCTAGGCTCCAGGGTTTAGGGTTTAGGGTCTAGGGTTTAGGGTTTAGGGTTTGTGCGTAGACGAGGGCAAGCGGCGGCTGATGGAGGCTTACGTGGCGCTGCGGCTGATGGACGCGCAGCCAGGGCTGCAGCACAACATGAGGATTACTGTTCGTCAGTTGGAGTCTCTCATTCGCTTATCGGGTCCGCCTGAACCCTAAACCCTAAACCCTAAGCCGTAGGCGCTGGCTCCAGTCCATGCAGACATGCTGCCTGTACACCCCAGCAGCTGCCTGTACACCCCAGATGGAATCCCAGCTGGCTATACACCGCAAGTGAAAGAAAGACAACAGAGATGGCTTGGCGGGTTTCCTGCTCCAAACCTCAAACCCTAAACCGTAAACCCTAAACCCTTGCTGGTGGGTGGCCTTGCAGAGGCGGTCGCTCGCCTTCACTTCAGCGACTTCGTCCGAGAAGAGCACGCGAAAGAAGCCGTCAACATATTCAGGTGCCAAACCCTAAGCGCTAAACCCTAACTCCCAAACCCTAAACCCTAGTTGGTGCACTGTGCTGCAGCGCGAGTGTTCAGTGCAAGTTTATGCTGCCAGTCGGAGCGGCCTATACACCCCAAGAAGAACATGCATGTATCCGTTTTCAGGTGTATCTTTGGGTTATTTACTTCTCTGAAGAAACTTTTGTGTATATTTTATTATATTTTTTTGCTTTCCAATTCTTTCTTTAGAGCTTCTCTCCACCGCATAATGCACACAGAAGACATCCGGCTGACTGAGCCAGCAGCAGCAGCAGCAGCAGAGAGCGACAAGCGGCAGGAAGGCGAAGGCGAGGACGGCGCTGCTGCTGCTGCTGCAGCAGGACCGCAGCAGGAAATGCACATTTCTCAAGATGATTACAGACGCATAGCTTCTCAAATAATAGATTACATTTCGCAAAAAGAAGCAGCAGCAGCAGCTGAAACCGACTCCTTCCAAGGAGTGTCTTCGCACGTGGTCATCGAATGGTCAGCTGCTGCTGCTGCTGCCTCTGCTGCTGCTGCTGCTGCTGCGCTCACAACGGACGTAATCGCGGGTGCAGTTTCGATCTCGTATTAATTGTGTTAGGGGCACTTGCTGCTGGTGCCCGGTGCAGCCGCTACACCTGCTGCTGCGGCATCTGCTGCTGCTGCTGCTGCCGCTGCACGTGCATTTGATCGGGTGTTGCTGTTGCATGCGTCGCTATTGCTGTGGCCGCATTCATTGCTGCTGCACCACACTTGCTGCTGCTGCACCTTTCGCTGCACCTGCTGCTGCACCTGCTGCTGCTGCTGCTGCTGCTTGCAGGTGGCTAGAAGATGTGCTGCAGCCTGATGACGCAGAAGTACTGGATGAATGGTACAGAAAGCTGCGGCTGATTGTGCAGCGGCTGATAGACCAAGACGGGTACTTGCTGGTGAGTGTCTTAATGGATTAATTGAAAAATAAATAGATAAATAAATAAATAAATAAACATAAATAAATACATAAATAATTTAATTTGCCAACCATCAACTAATCCTTTACCGGTTTGGGGGTGCAGCAAATGCCGGAAATGCTGCAAAGCGGCACTGCAGCAGCAGCAGCAGCCCTGATGGTAGCAGCATAAATTTGAAACAAAAAACTTCAAATTAAGAGAAAGAGAGACAAGCAGCAGCAGCAGCAGCAACAGCAGCAGCAGCAAAAGGGTCACTGTATGTGCGCAGGGCCAGCCAGTTCCTGGGGGCGGCGACGGCGAGCTGCTGCTGCGGGTGCACCCGAACGTCTGCGACATCAGCAGCAGCAGCAGCAGCAGCAGCGCAGTGCTGGCCTTCGGCTACAAGTCCTTTGGATTCCAGGAGGACACGGAGGCAGCAGCAGCAGGAGCAGCAGCAGCAGGAACAGCAGCAGCAGCAGATGACGGCGACCTCACTACGGAGGAATTCGAAAGGATTCAGCAGCTCATTGAGCAGGGGCCCCCCGATGCTGATCTTGATCAATAAACAATAAAAATAAAAAATAAAAAGCAGTAAATAATAATAAATAAAAGTATAATTAATAATAAATAACAAGTAACAATAGGCGGCGGGGGGCACCGGGGCTGAGCCCTTTCGCTGGCTTAGAAAGCCCCGGCAGCATGTGCAGCAGCTGTTGCTGCTGCTGCTGCTGCTGGAGTTTGTGTTGCTGCGCTGCGTACACAGCCTGCTGCTGCTTCCGCAGCAGCAGGCTGAGGTGTACGTACACCTCGTCGAGACGGGAACATTCGTTTCATTTATTTATTTTTCTCTGTTTATAAAAAGTTTAATTATTTGGCAGCAGCAGCAGCAGCCAGCAGCAAAAAGGAAAAGTACTTGATCGCAATTGCACTGGAGGCAGCAACAAAGAAGCAGCAAAAAAGAAGCACCAAGATAAGAGCAGCACGAAAGCTGCAGCGCGAGTGCAGCAGCAAGAAAGCAGCAGCAAGACAGAAGCAGCAGGAAGGCAGCAGCAACACAGCAGCAGCAACACAGCAGCAGCAGCAGCAACACAGCAGCAGCAGCAGCTTTCCTGTGGGGTTTAATGTGGGAATTTGGGAATCTTCTCAAGACTCATCTCCCCATCTAATTCGCAGGAAAGGAAACAATTTAAATAATTATTTCTGTTTATTTATTTTCAATTTCAATTTAAATTATTCTTACTTTCATTTTAATCCTTCCACTCCCGCTGTGGGCTAAACAGCTGCAGCAAAAAGCCCTCAGCGCGCTTACTAAAAGAATTTTCAAAAAATAAAAATACCTTTTAAACCAAAATTAATATTTAATTAAATTGATATAAATAGAAGCTATTTTATATAAATTAGATCCAATTAAAAGATCATAAATATAAAGATAAATCTATATACACTTATGTTTAATATATATATATATATTTACATATCTAATATATATATATGTAAAATATATAAAATATATATATATTTATATAAACATTTGTTTATATGCGTTTGCTGCTGCCTTTATATTTCTTTCCAAATAGGCGCAATAGTTTTTTATATTTGTGTCGTATATAAACAGACGCGCAGCAGCAGCAGCAGCTGCTGGTGCTGCTGCTGCTGCAGCTGGAGTGGCTGCAGCAGCAGTAGCTGCAGCAGCAGCTGCAGGAGTGGCTGCAGCAGGAGTAGTCGCAGCAGCGGCTGCAGCAGCAGCTGCTGGAGTGGCTGCAGCAGCAGTTGCCGGAGTGGCTGCAGCAGCAGTATTTGCAGAAGCTGCAGGAGTGGCTGCAGCAGCAGTATGCGCAGCAGCAGCAGCGGCTGCAACAACAGCATCAGAATATGCAGCTGCTGCTGCCACAGAAATCCGGCCGTTGTCTTAGAAGACACACGACACAGCAGCAAAAGCAGCAGCAGCAGTACCTGCATCAGCAGTTGCTGCTGCTGCTGCTGCTGCTGCTGCTGCTCAGGCTCGCGGGGCCTCTGCTGCCAGCTCCACGAGCAGCCGCCGCATGCGCCCCAGTTCAGGGCGGTCCTTTTCTTTTGCTGCTGCTGCTTGGCTGCTGCTGCTGCTGCTGCTTCTCTCCACCAGCCACAGCACTCTCGCCCAGCCGCTGCCGCAGTCCTTTTTGTCTTTTTCTGCTGCTGCTGCTGCCTTAGCTCTGAGCAGCCCACAAATGCACTCGCAGCAGCAGCAGCAAATGCTACAAGCAGCAACTGCAGCAGCAGCAGCAGCAGCAACAGCAGGGCAGCAGCAACGGCAGCAGCACAACCGCAGCACATGCGGCACCGCAACAACAGCAAACAAACAACAGCAGCAGCAGCAACAACAGCAGCAGCAGCAAACCTGAGCTGTGCCTTTCTTCTCTCCAGATGTCTTTCTCTCTGTTCATAAAAGCCCTTTATTTCTTCATCAGCAATTTGCAGCTGCTGCTGCCGCAGGGCCTCGTCTTCCCTCCGCCGGGCCTCGATTTCCTGCTGCAGCTGCTGCTGCAGCTCTTCTTTCTGCCGCTGCAGCATGAGCAGCTGCTGCTGCTGCTGCTGCTGCTTCGCCGCCTCCTCAGGGCTCAGCATCTCAGCAGCACTCTGGGGGGCCCCCAAAGGGGCCCCCAGATCGGGGCCCCCAAGGGGGGCCCCCCAGGGGGCGGGGCCCCCCATCGGAGGCCCCTGTGGGGTCCCTGTGGGGGCCCCCAGAGAAACCTCTAGGGAGGGAGCGAGGGGGGCCCCCAGGGGGGCCCCCAGAGGGCCCTCTAGGGGGGCCCCTGGGGCCCCTGGGGCTGAAAAAGGGTCATTGGAGTCTTCCCTTTTATCAATTAGGGTTTGGCCTGAGGGGAACTCCACGCCGTTGTTTAAAACGAGGTCTTGCTGCTGCTGCTGCTGTTGCTGCTGCTGCTGCGCTTCCTCTTCCTGCTGCAGCAGCTCCTGGCGGTGCTGCTGCAGCTGCTGCTGCAGGTCCTGAGCCGGGTCGCCGTTGTCTAGTAAGAACTCATCTTGCTGCACCAAGTCGAATTCGCTGCCGCGGCCGTTGAAGAAGTCTTCGTGTGCTGCTGCCATCTTGCTGCTGCAGCTATTGCTGCTGCTGCTGCTGCTGCTGACGCCGCCGCTGCTTAAGAGACGCCTGGGGCACTGCTGCTGCTGCTGCTGCTGCCAAGACTCAAAGAGTCGCTCTGAATAAGAGAAAGAGGCCCCGCTGTCTCGCGAGCTCGTGGGGCCGCAGCAGCAACACTGCTGCAGCTGCTGCTGCTGCTGGGATCCGTGTCTTGCTCAGCAGCAGGAAAGCGCCTGTCTCCTCAGCTCACAGAGATACGCAAATTGGCCCGAATTTCCCGCACTAGATCAGCAATTTTCAGCTCGCGCTGCTGCTGCTGCAGCTGCTGCTGCTGCCTGTGCAGCTGCTGCAGCGCAGCAGGCAGGGGCTGTGCAGCAGCAGAGCCCCAGGACTACTGAGGGCCCCTTATCCTCGGTCCTTTATAGCTGCCTCCTTTTTATCATTATATTTAACCTTATGACTCAACCGCTGTTAGGGCTTTAGGCTCGAATTTTCATGGTTTAGGGTTTAGGGTTTAGGGTCTAGGGCTTAAGGTTCCAGTGCAGGTTGGCCTTGGCTTGCTGGTAGCTGCGCTCGAGGCCCCCCAGTGTGCAGCTCTAGCAGCAGCAGAAACAGCAGCAACAGCAGCAGCAACGGCAGCAGCAACAACAGCAGCAGCTGCAGCAACAGCCGCAGCGCATTAGAAGCACGAACAGCAATAGCAGGAGCAGCAGCAGCAACAGCAACGCCGTCAGCAGAGCTGCTGTCTGTCCTATGGCGAGCAGCAGCAGCAACTCGCGCTGCGGCTGCTGCTGCTGATGCAGCCATATGAGACAGAATGGAGTGCTCATTCAGCTCACGCTGCTGCTGCTGCTGCTGCTGCTGCTGCTGATTGCTGGAGGGCCTTCGACGGCAGATCGATTGACACCGAAAACAGCAGCAGCAGCAGCAGCAGCAATAGCAAGACCTATCAGACATGCGTCTGCTTGTGGGGCCTTTCTTGTGAACAGCTTTTCTTCCACAGCAGCAACGGCCTGGCAACAGCAGCAGCAAAAGCACCCGCAGCAGCAGAAGCAGCAGCAGCGGGCACGGAGGCAAATCCACTGCAGGAAGGAGAGCTTTAATGAACTCCGGGCATTTAGGCTCATCTCAACAAAATGCAGCAGCAGCAATAGCTGCATCGAAAGCAGCAGCAGCAGCACCACCTGCATTGACAGCAACAGCAGCAGCAGCAGCGGCATTGACAGCAGCAGCAGCAGTTTGTGCTTTCGAGATGCGGACTTTTTGCGCCGGGTCTCAAAGTGGGTTTTGCTGCGGGCCGTCCTAGGCATAAACACTCACCCTACCACAGAAGAGTTGCTGCAGCAGCAACAGCAACAGCAGCAGCAGCAGCGGGGTCTGGGCATCAGCAGCATTTCTGACATACACGAGAGGTACTCCACGCTGCCCCCTGGAGCAGCAGGAGCAACAGGAGCAGCTGAAACAACAGCCTTCCCGCAGCAGCAGCAGCAGCAGCCGCAGCAGCAGCAGCGGCCGCAGCAGCAAGAAGCTGCCTATGGCCGCATCTCGAGCGTGCGGAATGGGGGCTTGTTTGTAGATATAACTCCTCTGTCTTATCTCGATGGCTGCAGCAAAAATAAGCTGCAGGTGTACTTCGGTAGCAGCCCGAAGCACGCTGCAGGCGCAGCAGCAGCAGCAGCAGCAGCAGCACGGGGTGAGCGGGCCTCTGCACCCCCAGGGGGGGCCCCGCTGGCCCCGCAGCAGCTTTTGCCGCTGCTGGATTTGGGGGACATAATACTAGTAAGAGGGGCCCTGAAGAGAACAAAGAAAGGAGAATTGACTTTGGCTGTAGCAGCAGCAGCAGCAGCAGGAGCAGCAGCAACAGCAGCAGCAACAGCAAGGGAGACCCAAGGGGGGCCTCAAAACCCCAGGGAGGCCCAGCAGCCAGGGGTTCTGGGGGCCCCCACGGCCCAAGGCCAGGGGGGGCCCCACACTCAGGGGGGCTCCCAAAGCCAGGGGGCCCCCGGGGCCCCACACGTGGGGCCCCACACGGGGGTAGGCCAGGTGGTGCTGCTGGCTAAGCAGTTGCTGCCTCCAGAAGCAGCAGCAGCAGCAAATTGCTCACCGACTGCTACTGCTGTTGCTGCAGCACGCGGGCTGCTCCTGCAGCACGTGGCAGACCTCGGAGCTCCAGCTATCTATGCTACCGCGCTGCAGCAGCAACAACAGCAGCAGCAACAGCAACAGCAACAGCAGCAGCAGGGGGAAGGCAGCCGCAACCCCTGGCTCCCGCAGCTGCTGATGCTGCAGAAGTATTTGGGCGAGAAGCAGCAGCAGCTGCTGCGAGACTTCCAGCAGCAGCGGCGGCAACAACAGCAGCAGCAACAGCAGCACGAACTGCAGCAGCAGCATCAGCAGCGGGAGGAGGAAGAGAATTGCTGGACTGCAGAAGCAGCTGCGCAGCAGCAGCAGGAGCCAGGGCAGCAGCAAGACAGCAGCAGCAGCGGTGCTGCAGGGGTCTCACTGCTGCTGCAGCAGCCATCCAGGCGCCATTTGCTGCTGTGCCGCAGCGCAGCAATAGGGGCCTTGCGCTCTTTTCTTGATGCTCAGGGCTATTTGGCTGTAGACACCCCCTGCTTGCTGCGCATGCAGCAGCAGCAGCAGCAGCAGCAACAGCAGCAGGAGCCGGAGCAGCAGCAGGAGCTGGAGCAGGAGCAGCAGGATGCTCCACCAGCTGCTGAAACAGTCCGTCTCTTCGTCTCGCAGATCCATGCGGTAAGCTTCGAGCAGCAGCAGCAGCAACAGCAGCCACAGCAGCAACAGCAGCAACGACAAAGCAGCAGCAGCAGCAGCATGCATTTGGCTGTTTCATGCAGACCAAGACAGGCGTAGTGTTGCGCCAGGCGCCGGAACTAAACCTAAAGAAGCTGATTGTTGCTGGCGTTTCTGATAAGGTAATTTGCTGCTGCTGCTGCTGCTGCTGCTGTCGGTGCTGCTGCTGCTGCTGCCGCTGCTGCTGCGCCAGCCTGCTTTCTTGTGTCTCCTGCTCCATATTTGCTACTCCCCTCCATCATTTCTGCTACTGGTGCTATCGCTGCTGTTGCTGCTGCTATTACCGCTATTGCTTCTGCTGCTGCTGCTGCTGCTGCTGCTGCTGCAGGTCTATGAGCTGGGCCGGTGCTTCCGCAACGAGGGCTTGTCTTGGAGACATCATTTTGAATTCGTCTCTTTAGAAGTTTACCGGGCTTTGGCAGCAGCAGCAGACATGCGGCAGCTCGCGCAGCAGCTGCTGCGGGCCGCTGCTGCTGCTGTTGCTGCAGTCCCCAGACACCGGCGGCGACCCGCAGCAGCAGCAGCAGCAACAGCAGCAGGCCTCACAGAACAGGGGCTGCTGCTGCTGAGGGACCCCCAAGAGCAGCAAAGATTTGTCTCTGTCGATTTGGAGATTCCGTTTGAGGAGTATAAGTACCTGGACTTAGTCAGAATGCATACGGGCATCGACCTGCAGCAGCTCACGCTGCAAGAGGTACCAGCAGCAGCAGCAGCAGTAGCAGCAGCAGCAGCGGCAATTTCACTTGCCCGTTGCAGCAAGACTGAGCTGCTGCTGCGGCTTGCGCGGCTCGCATGCGTGTGCTGCAGGCCCTTCGACAGACGGAGCTGCTGCAGCAGCAGCAGCAGCAGACGCTGCCTGCTGCTTGTCTCGCTACCAAGGAGCACTTGTCTGCTTTTCTCTTCAAAAGATTCGTAGAAAAGAAACTTCTGAGGCCGACCCATGTGCTGCACCCGCCGCTGCTGCTGTCGCCCCTAGCAGCATCAGTAGCCCCAGCAGCAGCAGCAGAAGCAGCAGCACTCCCAGCGGCAGCATCAGCAACAGCACCACCACCCCCAGCAGCAACAGCAGCAGCACCAGCAGTGCCAACAGCAGCCGCAGCAGCAGCAGCAACGCCAGCAGCAGCAGCACAAGCCACAGCAGCAGCAGCAGCAGCAGCAGCAGGTGACATGCCGCTGGCTGAGCGCTTCGAAACCTATGTGGGGGGAGTGGAAGTGGCTGACGGCTACGCAGAGCTGAGCTGCCCGCTGGAGCAGCGGAGGAGATTAAAGCAGCAGCAAAAAGAATTTAAATTAGAGCAGCAGCAAAAAGAATTTAAATTAAATCAAATAATTAGAAATAAAAAGAGAAATCTACAGATTGAAGACGCGGGGCCCCAAGCAGACCACGAGGTTCGCCACACCTGCGCTTGCTGCCGCTCTGCTGTTGCTGCTGCTGCTGCTGCTGCTGCTCTGCTACGGTTGTTGTTGCCGCTGCTCTGCTGTTGCTCTGCTGCTGCTGCTGCTTTTGCTGTTGCTGGTGCTCTGCTCCTGAGTCGACAGATCAAGTAATGCTGTGCTGCTGTTGATGTGCTGCTGCTGTTGTTGCTGTTATGCTGTTGCTGTGCTGCTGTTACCGTGCTGCTGCTGCTGCTGTGCTGCTGCTGCTGCTGCAGGACTTTCTGCAAAGCCTTTGCTTGGGGCTGTGCCCCACGGCGGGGTTGGGCGTTGGGGTGGACCGGCTGCTGCTGCTGCTGACTGGCAGCAGCAGCATCAGAGACGTTATGTTCTTGCCGACACAAAGCAAATAAATAAATTAATTAAACATTTACTTATTTTCAATACTTTTGGCTATTCGTGAACTTCGTTTTTTCTTGTCCTGCCCTAAGGCTGCTGCAGGAGCAGCATCAGCAGCAACAGCAGCAGCAGCAGCAAGTGAGCGGCTGCTGCGGGCCGCACTGCGTAAAAGTGTAGCGCAGCTTGAAGGCCCTAGCCATTCGGCAGGGGAGGGCCTAGCGGCGTAGCTAGCTAGCTGCTAACTAGCTAGCTGCTAACTAGCTAGCTGGGCAACTGGCAAGCCAGCTAGCTAGCTGTGCCTTGCTATGCTAGGTAGCTATCTAGCTGCGCTGGCTAGCTAGCTAGTTACGCTGGCTAGCTAGCTAACTACGCTGGGTAGCTAGCTAGCTACGCTGGCCGGCAAGCTGACTACGCTGGGTAGCTAGCTAACCACGCTAGGTAGCTAGCTAGCTATGGAAGGTAGCTAGCTAGCTACGTTAGGAGTTAACTAGATATGCAAGGCAGCTAGCTCTCCAGTAGTTAACAGTGTCTTCTCCTGTTAGCTAGCTCACCAGCTAGCTGGCTAGCTGGGAGACACGCAGCAGGAGCAGCGCAGCAGCTAACGCTCCTCTCGAGCTGCAGCAGAGCAGCAAAAGTGTGCTGCTGCAGGCTGCTGCTTGGGGCTGCTGCTCATGGGCTTGTTGCTGCAGCGGCTGCTGCATGGCTGGGGGGACTTTTGCTTCCTCTTCATGATGCTACTTAGCGCTGCAGCAGCAGCAGCTCCCTGCCGCAGCGACTACTGCTGCTGCTGCCGCAGCAGCAGCAGCACCGGGTACTGCTGCTGCTGCTATGGCGGCTACGGCGGCAAGTGAGGCACCAGCAGCAGCAGCAATAATGGCTGCAACAAGGGCTAAATTAACGGCGGCACCATGAATAAAATCAGCAGTGAGAAAGGAAGCAACGCCAGCAGCAGCAGCTACTGCAGCAGCAGATCGCCAGCAGCAGCAGCAGCAGCAGTAGCTGCTGCTGCTGACGATCTGCTGCTGCTGCATTTCGCGTCGTTTGCTCTCCAGAGCGGCGCTGTCTCAGCATCTGCGAGGCAATCTTTTGAATTAAAATAATTAGAATGCATTTAAAGTTAAAAATTATATATTTTGAATTTATTTTCAAAGTTCAAGTTCGTTAATTTTGCCTCCCCCGCCTGCGCAGACACCCCATCGCTCGGCGCTCCCGTGCAGCGGCCGAACAGGAAATGCGGCGTCAATCGAGGGGAGCAAAGGAGGAATAAAAGAAAGAAATAAATAAAAATATAAATTTTATTTATAAAAAATTAAACATTAAAAAAAATAAATACACTAAATGCGGACGGGGCGAGAAGGAGGAGCAGGCTGATGAGGGGTCGCCATCGGCGGCCAGCGGGGATTTCGTTTTCGGTGATTGTTTGCATCTTTGTGCCCCTCAAACTGCAGAAAAAAACAGAAAAACAAATTTAATTTATTTAACTCCCTCGAATTATTCTTTTGAACCGCGGAGGCCCCACGAAGCCCCTAGAAATAAGCAGCTTCGGAAGCAGGGGCAAAGCCAGGCTCGCAGCCTCTGCTGCTCCGGTGCTCCCGCCGCTGCAACTCGCGGATTTTCGCTCCTTTTCGCTTATTTTTTCTTTAATCCGTCAAGAAAATAAAACTTTGTGTGGGTTTTGATTTAGGAAAAGAGTTTAAAGCAGCAATTTGCGCGGAGAGGCCGCAGCAGCCGCCCCGGCCTGGGGCCATCTAGCCCTCATAATAGGCGCGTCCGCTCCCCCGCCCGCCCCCGGGAGCAGCAGCTAGGGTTTAGGGTTTAGGGTTTAGAATTAGGGCTTTTGGAATCTAAAGTTGCATTATTTGTGTTTTTTTTCCCTTTTGTTTTTTCCCTTGCGGCCATTTGCGGCAGCCCGTCGGCGCGCGGCTGCTTCGCTTCAAGTGTGCATACACCCCAACGCCTGCTGCTGCCGGCGCAGCAGCAGCAGCAACCCCAGCAGCAGCGGTGTCTGCAGCAGGAGCCGTCTCAGCAGCAGTGTCCGCAGTAGCTGCAACAGCAGCAGCAGCAGCAGCAGCAGCAGCAGCAGAGCAGCGGGGCCTTATTCCGGTGTCTCTGGGGCGCGGATTCTGCGTGGGTGTGGCGCTCTGGGCAGGGCGGGGCAGGCTGGGGTGTATCTACAGCAGTTGTGTCATTTCTGATTAATTTGAAAAGTTTTATTTGAATCAAATCCACTTGAAGTTCATTTCCGTTTGCTGCTGCTTCAAAATGCGGTTTTTGGCGCTGCTGTGCGTCTTTTTGCTGCTGCTGAGCGGCGCGTCCGCGCGGGGGCGGCAGCGGCCGTCCCCCAGCAGCAGCAGCAGCAGCAGCAGCAGCAGCAGCGGCAGCAGCAGCAGCAGCAGCAGCATCAGCAAGGAGGACCCTGTGCTGCAACGCCTGGCGGAAGTGTTTGCTGCTGCGCTGCAGAAGAACCCACAGCTGTCGCTGGGCGAGCTGCCCGGGGGGGCCCCCGAGGGGGCCCCCCTGCAGCAGCGGGCGCTGCAGCTAGCTGAGGCTGTGCTGCAGCTGGGGGGCGCCGAGCTGGCGCGGCGGCTGGGGGTGGACAGCTCGCTGTACAAAGAAGTTGCTGCTGCGCTGCAGCAGCAGCAGCAGGAAGGCAGCAGCGAGCTGCTGGGTTCGTTTTTGCGGCGGGCGTTTCGGTGGCTGCTGCAGAAGCTGCCGCAGAAGAGCTCGTGCGCTGCAGTGAAGCAGCAGCAGCAGCAGCCGGAGGCGCGGCTGGGCCACAGCCCGCTGCGCCGCTTCGGCTACCCCGTCTTTGCTGCTGCCAGCCAAACTGTGCTGCTGCAGTCCCGCCTGCCGCTCAACCTCTTGAACAACTTTCCCATTCCAATTACTGTTGGCGCTGAAGACTACTGGATCCAGGGGAGGCCCCGGAGGGTCCGGGAGTTCCTGGAGTGCTTCGGAGACTACGAAGCAAAGGCCGAGACTTTGTTCCCCGACGGCCACTGGCGGGTGAGCGCCCCCGAGGAGCTGCAGCACAGCAGCAGCAGCAGCAGCAGCAGCAGCGGGAAGTGGGGGCGGCCGCTGTACCTGCAGGTGCAGGGCACCAGCCACGTGGGGGAGGTGGCCGAGCTGCTGGGGCGCGCGGCGCTGGACAGAGTTTTGAAGAGTTTTGATTTGCTGCTGCACCGAAAAACAAATTTGAAAGCTTTAGTTGAAGAAGCTCTCGACCCTGACGGCAGTCCCCAGGACTTGCTGCTGGACCGCCTCTCCGGGCTCGCCAACGCGCTGCCCGCGGGCTCCCCCGGCCCCAGCAGCAGCAGCAGCAGCAGCAGCAGCAGAAGCGCAGCAGATGGCATTGAGGCCATTCTCGCGCTCAGCAAGTACAGCCGCCTCCCCGGCAAGGCCTTCGTGGAGCTGCTGCAGCAGCTGGCGGGGGCGGAGACTCTGCAGGAGAAGATCGAAGTGTTTACCCAGGCGCTGCAGCAGCAGGAAGCAGACGAGGAGCAGCAGCAGCACGGCTGGACCCACCCCGAAGCAGTGCAGCAGCAAAAACGCATCCTGCTGGTCCTCACGGCCTACCCAAAGCCAGACTCTTCTGTCCGCGCCACTTACCGAATGCCTTCTGCTGTTGTCTCGCTGCAGCAAATTGCGGACGCCCTCGACCTCATCGACTTCGAGTACAAATAGCTCCAGCTAGCCACCAGCTAGCCACCAGCTAGCCACCGGCTAGCTGGTGGCTTGCTGCGGGGCGCCGGGGGGCTCTGAGGGGGAGCTGCTGCGCGGCCGCAGGTAGCCAGCAGCTAGCCAGGCAGCAGGAAGCAGCTAGCCGTGCAGCAGGCAACAGCTAGGCAAATATTTGGTTGGCAAGCAACAGCGGGAGTGCCAGGCTGAAAGAGGAGCGAAAGAGGAATTTGCCCAAGCTAGCTAGCTGGCTAGCTAGCTAGCTAGCTAGGTGGAAAGCGCGGCGCTGGGCCAGCTAGCCAACTGAGCAGCAGAACCAGCTGATTGGCTAGCTGGCATTTATCGAACTCTGCACCGGCGCCCAATGCGCCCGATGCGCCGGCAACAGAAATAGGTAGCTATTTGACTAGCTAGCTATTTGGCTGGCTAGCTATTTGGCTAGCCAGCTACCTGGCCAGCTATTCATCTGGCTAACTGGCTATTTGGCCAGCTAGCCAGTTGGCTGGCTAGCCAACTGACCAGTGATATGACTGACAAGGCCTAGACAGGCTCAAAAGGAGTGCCCTCTTGCAGCTAGCTAGTAAGCTCTTCATCTGGCTAGCTAGCTAGCTAGTTGTGTGCGGCAGCGCTCGCTCCAACTTTGGCGCTGCAGCAGCTGCTGCGGCAGCTGCTGCGGTAAGCGCGCGCCACGAGGGAAACCCTGATTTCTCAGAGTTTGGCTCCTCCCCTGGGTCACGAGCTCACATGTGGACTCTTGAGCTGCAGCCGCAAACACCGGGGGAAATAAAATGCGGTTTCTATTTGAATTTCTCTTGAAGATTTTGCGTCTTTTTGCTCCAGCTGCCTCACTAGTTAGCTAGCTAGCTGGCTGGCTAGCTAGCTAGCTGCATAGCTAGCTAGATAGCTAGCTGCATAGCTAGCCAATTTAGGGCAAAAAGAGTTCTTGAGTGGAGAGCTGCTGCTAAAGAAAAAATTTCTAGTTAAAATTCTTCGAATAAAGTCTTTGAAGAAAAGCCGCTTCAGACACCGCAGGGAGTCTAGGCCTGAGAAGCGCTGCGGCGTTGAGGGTTTAGGGGTTAGGGTTTGGGGATTGGGTGTGGGTCTTAGGGTTTGGGGTTAGGATTGGGGGTTTTTGGAGGTTTTCAAAGTAAAAGACATACGGAGAAAAGACTTTGAAATGGCCTTCTGTTGCAGCAAAAAGAAAGAGTTGACGAATAAAAGTTAATAAAATTAACAAATAAAAAAGTAAATAAGTAAAAAGCTCGAAGAAGAAAAACCACACATTGTTTTCTCAGCAGCTCTTGGGAGGAGCCGCTTGCAGACCAAAATCAGCAGTAACAAGTCGCCGGCAGCAGCAGCAGCTGCTGTTGGTGCTGTTGTTGCTGCTGCTACTACTGTTGCTGCTGCCTGCGCTGCTGCGGCGTCCGCCCTCCTTCGGCCTGTTTTCCCTGCTTTGCAGCTGCAG